TGCTAACCAGAAGGCTGGCAGTTCAAACCCACCAGCCACTCCTCGGAAGGAAGATGGGGCAATCTACTTCTGTAGTGATATCTTAACTAAAGGGTGTAAAGAAGAGGATTACCATATAACTAGACCATTACCTAATTTGTATTACCTAATTTGGCTTCTTACATACTGTTTTCCAAAATACTTGAGTATTGTTAAAGTTGTGTCTTTGTGTGTGTGTGTCTGTGTGTGTGTCTCCACCACTGCCACTAGTGGGCAATGAATTGATTCCAACTCAAGGAGACACCATGTGTGCCAGAGTATAACTGTACTCCATAGAATTTCCAGTGACTTGTTTTTCAGAAATAGATCACCAGGCAAGGTACCTCTGAGTGCACTGAAATGTTTAGCTTTAGCTGCTAAATGTGTTAACCACTTGCACCATTCAAGGACTGACGTATATGTATATATATATTCATGGTTGTCAACTTGACAGCAACTGGTGGTAGTAGAAACACACAAACATATACACATATTATATTATTATATACTTACACTTATATATAGTAGCTATGCAATGAATATATTCACATACATACGTATGAACATTTGTACAAGTGAATTTGTACTTTTAAGCTTGCATTTCTTCTATAGAGGCCAAGTAGATTAGTGGTTGTCTTGGACTGGGGAGTAAGAATGGAGAATAACTGTTAAAAGATATGAGAGATCTTATTGGAATGATGAAAATATACTAGAACTGGATTATGGTGATGGTTGCACAACTCAGTAAATTTTCTAAAAATCATTGAATTGTATCCTTAAATGAGTGGATTTTATGGTATGTAAATTACACCTTAGCAAAGCTATGGAAAACTGATACTCCTGAATTTGAGTTCCTTTGGTTCTAGGCTACATATAAAATGAAAAATTACATCACCGTAATTTTTAGCTGCTCTTTTCCCACTGAAGATTATTGCCTTCCATTGCAGAGTAGATGGGCTGTGGGATAACAGAGCCAGATAAAAGCCCAGTGCCATATGATACCAGTCTGTCCTGACCACTGTTGGCAAGGAATGAAGTTACTGACCACTGTGATGTAAAGAGCCATGTGAAGTGGAGAGTGGTAGCTCAAGAAAGTGATTGGCACCATGTTTCACAGCTGGTGCTGCATGTGTCAAAAGATAAAAACCTTAGTATCTAACTCATACGTGATGGTGTGTTTTTCTTCTTTTGCAGGTTGTCTTAGTCTTTGCTCTCAGCATTGGTGCACTTGTAATATACTTCATAGACTCGTCAAAGTGAGTATCCAAATACATTTTCTTGCCTTGTTTTCAAAAACATCACAAACCTTCACCTTGATCAGTATGTTTGCTTTAGCCAACTTCTCTGTAAGAGCCTCTGGATGCAGAAGACTTTTCAGGGAAGGCAGGGCTCTTCTGTGCTGAATTTCTGAATGGGCAAATTCTCCAGAAGAAGGGTACTTTAATTCTGCTGGCATGAGAGGGAGAGGCATCTGAGGTCACACCTTCTTGGTGGGTGTTATTTATTTTTAAGTAGCTTTTCCTGACCAACTGTTTTCACTGAAGATATTAAGAGGGAAGAGGGCTTTGATGTGAATTTGCAACCTCTGGGAGGGTATGGTGTTCAACAGATGAAGGTCTGAGCCATTCTTCTCATGGTTGTAGGATCCTTTTCTCATTAGGGTTTCCAAAGATTCAGCCTTACTGGAGGTCAGATCAGAAAGTATGCCACTATTCTTTGCACTTTCCTAACTGAATGTTTAGGGTAGGGGAAGTATCACATACTGGTACTTCTTGACTTGACAAGGTAAGGATGTGAGATGGAGGCATGATGACTTCTGGAGGTGGAGGGCCATGACCATCTGAGAATACCTAGAGTAGACACTTGTGCAGACCCTTTGGCCACCAGCAGAGGGGACTGGTGGTCTAGGGTAGCCTAGGCTGGGCTCTGTGCCATACATGGTAAAGACGTTGAAGGAGGCAGAAGAGAGTGCTGCCAGGACTGCAAGATGGTGGCCAGTTTTGCTCTGGTTCTTGCAGTTGTCACCCTGGCTCCATCCTTTGTTCCAACTGATCTCATTGCAAACTCAAAGGTGACACCATCTGGGGATCTGCAGTGGAGTTGGCATTTGATCCTTGAGTTCTTTGCTCTCAATGTCTACTGTTTTTAGCTCTGACTCTAATATGAGTGGACACTAGACTTTGATCCTAGGAAAACCCATTTAGATGTCTCTGTTGACTTACACCCCAATGTGTTTGAATTCTGAGCTTACTCCCACTTCCCTGTGGCTCAGGATGGTGGTAATTTTACGAATACCTAAACTCTGAGTTTCTTAGATCCAGCTGGTCACCGGCCAAAGGATTTTGTACACTTGGGTGCAGAGGCCAAAATATCACGTCAGGGAAAATAAAGAAAACATTTCCTCTAATAACCTCTCTCTGAGAACCAGCGAAGTCTGAGAATGTCAGAGGTCTTGCAACCCATCCTCACACACAAGTCTGGGCTATTCTTGCCCATTTCCAATCCTTTAAAAGTCCTCCAGGAGACAAGGTTCCACATGCTTCTTCCATCAGCTGTGCCTGGCCAAGAACAAGAAGAGCTTTCTGAGTTCAGAAGATTCCAATTGCTGTGTCATTTATGGTAAGCGCCTTTTACATATTTACTGTTTATAATTCTGGGCCATATTTGTGTTGAACTAAAGATCTTCTAAAGCCCTGCTCTTGTTTCTCCATTGTCTTTCTCCAGGAGTGTTATTACACATCATGGGGTGGACACCCTGCCAACTTCCACAGCATGGGGCCAGCTTCCATGCCAGGGCCCAGGAAGTAAGTTTAGGCATGTATCTGTGGCCCTAGAGGGAAATCTTTTTGTGGAGGTGAGTGTGGTGATTGATTAGAAGGACACTTGTCTCCTTGCCATCCTTCCTTCCCCTCCCTTTTTTCTCCTTTGTATTTCTCTCAGAAATAAAATGCTCTTGCCAGATGGATCTGGGTGGTGTCCTTTTTTACATTGTCTATTATGAGTCAGTTTTTGCTTTGTAAATTTCAGTGTTGTCACCTCCATTTGAGAGGATGGAAAGAGATGGGATTCTCCAAAGAAGCCTCTTTCCTGAATGCCCTGCTCACCTCGGTGACCTTTAGTTTTAATTATGATTCTCCTGAGTCTTGGAGAACCTGGCATTGTGAATCTTCTCTGATCTGTTTTCTTTTATGGGCAAAGAGTCTACCGCAAAGAGGGACCTTTACTGCTATTCTCAGATTTTCCCAGCAAAAATGGTAAAAAATTTTAGATCCCAGCCTTTCTCTACTCTGCCTGGTAACTGCCCTAGACTTGGGCATTGTTTCTTCCTTGTCACTAAGCTGTGTCATTTGGTTTGCCAAATTTTGTTTATAACAAGATCTTTTTATTTATGAAGCCCTTTCCACTTTTGGTTTGCCTTATTTTATTTGATCCTGAAACCATATCCTAGGATTCTGTTCAGTAGAGGGCCAGTAAGCACAATTAACACACAGAAGTCTTCCATTTCACTGGGGAAAGCCAGCAAGCATGCTCAGTTTAAGTGAGTAGAAGAATTTAATGGAATCTGTGGAAGTCACTTTTATAAGTCCATCGATTCCAAGGAATGGAAAAAAATTTTTTTGAATAAATTAAAATCAAGCTTAGTGACTAAGATAAAGTTCTATTTGCACATAAAATGCAAATGGAAAGAGAATAAGAAAGCAGAGTGTAAATTCTTAAGTGTCTTATCTTTTTCATTCAACATTGTTACCAGTTAAATACACTCATAGTTTGACTGGCCATCTGGACATCTTGGAAAGCTAGCTTTAAATTTCTTTAGAAAATTATACTAATATATCACTCTGGAAATAAAATACCCAGTGTTTAAACCCTCTAGATTGTCTTCTGACCTATTTATAGGCTTTTCCAAGAGAGGGCATATTGGGAAGATTTTTCCATGAATGGTTTGTGTCTATGAACTTCAATGAGAGCTGGTGTCCCCAGAATATTTGGGGATTGCGCAGTAGAGAGGTTCAAGATGTAAGGCCCTTCACGCCTACCCCTTTGAAAAGTGCAAGATATGCAAATGAATATATAAAACAGGTTCTGATTAGTCATCAAGGCAGTCCAATTCAGGTTGTGCAAGTGGGGAGATAGGCTGGATGGATATTCTACTCCCTGGTCGTCAGCACATGGGTAACACAACACAAGTTAGATAAATGTCATAGTTGGTCCTTTTATGATTTATGTTTTTTTTTTTTTCCATCTTTCAAAGCTTGTTTTACTATAAAGAAGTAGTGAGTAAGTCATTTGCAAAGAAATCTTCCCCAGCACATCTTTCCTTTTCAGCTTTTAGGCTACAATAAGTCCTTGAGTATTTCTTTTTCATTCAAGGAGTTGAGAAACCCTTCTTTGGGTTTTAATTTTCCTAGAGTGATCACTGAGAAAGAATCACTTGTGTAGCCACAAGAGATTGCTCTCTAGCAAAGATAGATTGTCCTTGAGCTCTTGGAGTTGAAAGCCAAAAAGAATTACGGTACAGTGTGTGAAAATTATGCTTCATCATCCCAGCGGTAAACTCTCTAGAAATACCCAAGCAGAAGGAGATGTTCTACTGAGTCTTTGGATGGATATAAATGTCAGTATCTTAGCAAATACAGACAAGCATTTCGTACACACTCATTCCCTCCCTAAAAGGATTTCCTCCAATTAGCCACACAGCACAGATAGCCATAGAAGCTCTGTCTCTCAGTAATTATTTTTAAAGGTTTCAAACCCAATTTGAGGCACACGTCACTCTGGCTCTTAATTCTGATGTCTCCTCTGACCCATTCCTCCCTCACACTTTGATATACAGTGAAGAAAAATTTTAAAAAAAATTGTACAACCAAGTCAAAAATGCCCCTAGAGCCCTGTGGGTGATAATGTCACCATTGCTGGTTCCATCTCTGTTTGATTCCTCCCTTTGACACAGGAAGAGTAACTCTTCTCTAATAGATAAGAAAAAGAAAGCCCCAACAGTGTCAGCGTCAGGACAGGATTCACGGGTTACATAATGCCAGCCGCTTCCAGAATTTCAAGAGAGTTGGAAGAGAAAAAGGCTCAGGACCCTGAGTATTTGCATTTTTTTCCAGGGGCATTCTGGGAAAGGATGACTCACGTGTGTATGATCTTTATTCCTTTGATTCATGTTTAAATCCCACTACTTCTTAAGCCACAGTTACATGGGTTATGAATATTTAATGATGCATATACTAAAAATGAAGGTCAAGTCCTGATCACTGGTGACTTCAATGCAAGCTCATGCCTCTAAAAGGCAAGCTACCTGCTGTTAGCAGAGGAAATCTGAAAGGTTAGACATTGTTAAAATTTTCCTTAATGACTTTATCTGGTCCAGAATGGCTGATACACAGTGCTGATTTTGTCAGTCTTTGCTCTTGGCTTCTGGTGCCAGCAGGGCTGTTCTGGGGATATGAACATTAGGGGGAAGAAATAGCATATAAAATTTGGAAAATGTTAATCAATCCACTGGCTAGATTGCCACTAACTAGATTGTAAGACTAACAGTGGTCTTACGATTTAAAAATAGTCTTCCCCCAGACTTAATAATTTTATTTCTGTATTCACTCATTCATTCATTCATTCATTTTTGTGCTTATTCATTCATTTTGTATTCATTTTTTCATTTGAAATATCTTCATTGTGAAAAAGCGGAATAATTTACAGACCATTGGGTAAGGTAGTAAGGAAAACTATCTTTAATGTTAGAATAGAAATTGATCAACTTGTTTTAATAGTCTCTGAAAATAAAATGCATTGTTGATGTAATGGGATACCCAAACCTTTAGCAGAACTGACCAGTCATCTAACAGTTTTTCACCTACCCTACTCTTACGACAACATGGCTTCTCATCTCTCATCCTAGAAGTTCTCCTTCAATGAGGTAGAGGTGGCAGGTGGTTGAAGGGAATTAGCATTTATTGATCATGTGCTGTGTGCCAGGTGTAGTGCTAAACCAAAAAAAAAAAAAAAACCAACCTCACTGCTGTTGAGTCGATTCACCTCATAGCGACCCCTCCTTGGATTTCTGAGGTGGTAGGTATCTCTATAGATGTAGATTGCCCAGTCTTCCTTCTGAAGAGTGGCTGGTGGGTTTGAACTACCAGCCTTCTGGTTAGCAGTCAAATGCCTTAGGCACTATGCTCCTAAGTATAGTGTTAAGCCCCTTAAAATAAATGACACATGCAGTCTTATTTAATTCTCCTAACAACTTTATAGG